ACTACTGCTTTGCTCCAGCTTCTTTCAGTAAAGCATTTGAGCTTTGCTTCCTTAATGGGCAAAGGCTTCTTCATTCCTAGAAGACATCGTGGAAGGATCACCTAGCCTGGACTTTGCTTACTAAAATATAGGAAACTTTTCCTACCCCTAAATCCTTCATCCATCCACTGCACTGCCATGGGCAAACTCCAGCGCCTGCCAGTGAGCCCCAGTGAACGCAGGGACCCACTTGTTCAGGGCCAGTTGCAGGAGCAGAGCACTGAGAGCTGGCGTAGGGGCAGTGACTAGTAACTGCATTGCCAAGAGTCTTTGGATGATATTCCACATCTGCTGAAGGCATTTCTACTTCACCAGTCAGTCAAATGCCTTCTGATTTAAAGGAGAGTTATGCTGAACAGTGTATTTCTGCACTCTGCTGTTACATGCCCTGCAGGTGTTAGTCCAAGCAAATGCTTTGCTGTTTAGGAATTACTTTGATGGGTTTTAGTTTATTAAAAAATTACGTCTCCTGAAAATTCTTTCACAAACGTGTGTGTATAAATATGTGTGTATCATATTTCGTTCATCTTTCTTCAGAATGACAGAACCCTTTTCTTTTTTTTACCTTCCTCCCCTCCTTTTTTCTTTAAACAACCCCCAAATACGCCTCTATAGATCCTGTTACAAGGCAAAAATCCTGGGATTGCTTGGGAATATACGTTTTCCAAAACCAACAATGAAAACAAGGCATCTGTCAAAAAACATAGCTACTCCTGGGTGACGGTACAGTCTGAGTGCTCAGCTACTTGTGGTGGTGGTAGGTAACTTTCTAATTGCTGTTCCTCTTCTTTTTCATTTTTTTAAAGCATCTCAAACATTTCAGCTGCCTTTAATTTTGCAAACATGTATCAGTACATACAGGGAGTTACACTGAACACCTGGTCCTTATTTTTTTTATGTGACAACTTGTAACATAGATGAAGTACCTTCATACTTCCCTTACAGTAAAAAACAAAACAAAACAAAAAAATTCCAGTCTCACTTCATGTCACTTACAGTGACTCAGTCTTTTTTTCTTTAGGCCAATCCATATGCATTTGATATCTTGCTGTTGAAGTAATGTGCAAATTAAATATGTTCTTTGATGTTGTTGTAATTTGGGAACATAGAAATATACCAAATAATGAGTAAAGTTTATCTTATCTGTAGAGAGTAATTGAAGATTAAAATATTATCAAGACCTTTACTGACAGTTGCACCCTGATCTTCTCACTGTTTATCTACAAGTATTAGAGTTCTGCCAGGTCAGAGCCCGAAATTCTAAGCTACGGATTTCTTATTACCATATTCCTCTAAGTATTTGCTTTGTGCAGGTCATCTCTTTGCTTCTCTAAATCCTGGATGTTCTGTTAGTGAAAGTAATTCTGGGATGCAGTGAAAGCAGAAGACTGGCCTGTGGGAAGTCAGGCAAAAAGAATTGAGGATTACAGTTTTAGTGGCTTTGAAATTGGAACTGGGTCATATAAATAAGACTATATGATGCAGTTGTCTTTAGTACCAAAGAATAGGACTTGGGTGACCAAGAAAATGCCATGCTATGCTCCTGTATTGGCAAAAAACGTCCAGGTGAAATTCAGGAATATCTTGCTAGTGTGTTGTTAAGGCTTCACTGCATCTCAGTGGACTGTTTATGGAAGAAAGACCCACCAGGAGCACTGCAGACATAAAGTACAACAACTGTATTTTTCTTGCTTCCCTTTGAAACAAATGAAGGTTGCAGCATGGATATAAGGATGATGGAAACAACTGTGTTTCCAAATTTGACTTTCTGTGCCCTGTGAACCATGTGTGAGGTGAATGATACATCTCAGTTACAGGGTAAATTTATAAAATCGCTTCACTTCTAGAGGCCTTTGTAATCTTCTCTGTACCCTGCCCTGATATTGACACTAGATAGACTTGAGGTACAGGAAACTGCAGAATTCTGAAGTCTGTAAAGATTTACTGTAAAAAGTTGCAAAATGTTTTGTTGCAGTTTGAAAGCATCTGAGGAGAGCTCCAAGCAAGCACTGCTAGTTTCTGCAGGGAATTAGGATTGAAGAATTACTAATTTTTGCTGGGGGAGGATTCTGCAAATGTGGTGTTTATAACTAAAATGTTTCATCTGACTTCAATAGTACCTGTGTTACAGAGAAGGAAATTAATGTTCATAACATGTTGCCAAATTAAATCCTATTTTATTTAGTTCAAGTCAGTGGAATGGTACCAAGGATGAGCTTGGACTTGTTTAGTTAAAATTCTTCCCTGCTACTTTTTCTCTTGTAGTTTGAGTAAATGTTTATTTTAATGTATTTTTTTCTAATACTTCCATAGGACACATTACAGCAAAAGCAATTTGTTTAGAAGATCATCGTACACGAGTTAATTCCTCCTTCTGTGGCCCAAGGATGAAGCCTTTAACTGAAACCAAACTCTGCAATACCAGTCCCTGCCCAGCATAGTAAGTTCTCTTGATTTTTGTACCTTTTTGCTGTGCCTTCTGACTGAGTTTACCACAAAAATGTCCTCTCCCATAGGCACACAGAATCCTATAGCCTGCTAGATGAACCCACTTTTATTCTGTAATGTAAGCCAGTCATTGTTTAAAAATGTTAGTTGTGTAGGCTTCTGCCCAATGATAATAACAGAGGCGGTATTTCTAATGCTGGTAAGCAAGACCTCCTGAGGATTGCTTGCGGCTGTCACCATGCTGGGGTTAGCTATGTGACACTGAGTAAATCTAAGTTACTTAGAGGCCTGTTCTGCCACCTTTACTCACCTTGAATCAATAATGCCATTTCCTGAGTAAAGTGCTACTCCCCGTGTGGAAGCCTGGCCTCATGACTCAGATTCCACATATTAGATTAGGTTAAAAGAATCTTGTGAAGTGTAATTAGTGATTTTTGGACAGAATGTCCCACAGAGTATTATGATACCAAACAGAGGACTATCTAAACCAAATAAATCGTCAGCAATGCTCCTGGTGCCCACAAAAATAAATATGAAGACATCGTCTATGTAAACAATCTTATTTTCTAAAAGACCTAAGAAAGGTGAGATGCAAAGGAAGACACTGACATATAGATAAGCATTTAGAATCCAGCTGGTCTAAATCAACAGAGCTCCTTTAAAAACAAGGGAGTTACACTGATTTATAGTAGCTGTGGTTGGGGTCCTTTGGAAAAAAAAAAAGTGTGCTCATACAATTAAACAGAGTATTGTGTGGCTTAAGATATAAATGGGTAGATTTAAGGACACATTAATCATCTTTCTTCTACCTTTTTTTCACTTTTGGATTCCTGACTTTGCAACCTTAGCATTATTTTAATTTTAAAAATTAAGATATTTTGACTTCCAGAACAGAAGATTTTGTAAAGCAATATGCTGAAAAAATTAAGAGTGTTTCAGTGGGAAATAAAGGCAGTTGAAGAAGCATTGAAGCACACAGGCAGCAGAAGACAGAGGAAATGGAGGAAAGCTCTAGACCTGGTGTCATCTGCTGTTCTTACTCTGTGGCGATAAAAGCAATGAGCGGTAAAAGCAATTGGCCAGGTCTGCTCCCATACTGCATAGAATAACACATTTCATTAAGTCTAATAGGAAGCATTCCCCATCTCCCTCAATCCAGAAGAGAATGATGGGGCAAAGCAAAAAGATGTGTATGTTCTGCAGTGGCTTTGTTTTTAGTTAAAAATCCATAGTTTGCAATATGTTGAACGTACTAAAAACCAGTCCAGTAATAGTTTGGAATTTCCTGCAAAATTTAAAGATTACAGCAGAGTACACAAAATCCAAATGGCAAATTATACACTGTGACCACAAAACGATAGAGATAAGGTTTAAATAATGGTAACATGTGACAGGAGAGCCCCATGTTCCTGCTTCAGCAGTTTCTTTAGGTTGCGTTTAGCCACACGATTTTCTCAATACCAATTTTATATACTCTTTGTAGCCAAACACAATCTGTTCATATGTGACTTATGTTCTGCCAGAACTATTTTTATCCAGTGAACTCAGTATCATGTATACAGAAATTCAGGTCTATGATGTTCCCAGGAGTCTTTTTAAGCTGTTTGTGCTTACCTCCATTTTGATGCGGCATCATTATGCAATGAAGCTTCACCAAAATCATATTCATTTCTATTGACTAAACACGAAATTTAATTTCTTTTAACCAGAGATCCTGATGTATTTTAAATGTCCACTGATATCACTGAGTATCCATTTTGACATGCAGCACAATGTTTTCATGCTGAAATTGCTCTGATATTCTTAGATTTACTACTTTAAAACACAGTTAATTACTTTAACCCTAAAGAATACAAAAAGAAAAACCATAAAAGCCCCAAGCCACCTTTAGGGAAAAACAATTCAAAACAGTAATTAATTATTTTTAAAATCCTTAGGATATATTAATATATGGAGGATCTACATGTAGGACCATGTCTTAAATTAACAGACTGCCAGCTAAGTGAAACGATGCCAGAATATCTCTGTTGAGGAATCTGCCCAGAAAGTCACGGCATGTAATAGTTCCCGTAAAACTCAGACTGCCAACATAAAAAAATGTAGCATTAATAAATACCATGGAGGAAACAAAGAATGCTTAACAGCCAGCAAATGAAGCAAAACCAAATATGGTAGGTATAATAGGCAAGGGAAGGAGGTCAATAATAGAAGAGATTCAAGCGTGTCAGTTTTGTGACATAAAAGAGGCTCCAGACTTATAAAGGTCAGTGAGGAATAATTAGTGCATAAGAACAAAGACTGACGAGTCTGGGTATGAACAAACTACTGTCCCAGCAGTAAGAATGCAGAAAGGCATCAGTACTGCACACTGTTGTTGTTGGATTTCAGAGCTGCCAAATCTGGTCATAATTATTTAGTTATTTGAGCTAATGAAAGATACTCTTGGATCACAGCCCAGATAATCTTGGAAAATGGCAGTTTACTAGAGGACATTAAAGTGGGTTTATTGCCCTCTCCTCTGTGAAGAGGGGAACTTTTTGGGCACTTAGGGTGAATAAGCTCTTAAAATGAACACTTTTGGTTGCTCTACCAACTACTGTTGTCAGAAACATCAAGGAAAACTAATTAAAAGTTGTAAAATGGATTAAAACTATGACTTCTATCCAGAAGTTTGTATTGCAATAGTCCAAATATTCATAAATCAGACAAAAAGGAAACTTCTGACGTGTTCTGGAATTGCATAACTACTGACTTTTCACATTAATATTTCTTTGTCCTTAAATTAGTGCTTTTTATATTTCCCACTACTTTTGGCAGTCAGTGAAGTTATTAGACTGAGAGTTGGGATTTCTTCTGTTCCCAAAGGAATTTTTCTAAAATAGGCTTTTTATAATTTTTTTACAAATTAAAATTAGCTTTGTTTTCAGGCAGATGTGAACAGACAGGCAAATGGGATGCTGTTCATCTTTCACACAGTAAGAAAAGAAAAAAAGAAAAGCTTTCTTGTCATTAAAACTGTATGTAAGTAGCTACTCCAGTGGTCCCAGGGCTGGTGCTGTGAGAAACCATGGAAGTAGCACAGACCAAGCAGCTGGATTTGAGACGACAGCCTTTTCTGTGGCATAAATTATTAAAAATTTGTAAAACTTCTGTTTTAAAACCTTTAGTTTAAATTCAGTGCTGGGTCTTTGAATAAGAGTTCTCAACTTGAGTAATCATTTAGTCACTCATCATTTCCTTTGTTTCTTCACTTCTGCTTTCCTATCTAGTTTTTGTATAGTCTTACATTGTAAGCCCTCGAGGACAAAGACACGTGGTTGTATGTTTGCAAAGTGTTTCCAAAAAGGCTGGGGACCCGCTCAGTGCTTCCATAACAGAAATACTGAGCAACTATGGACACTTCAAAACAACTTATCCTAAGCAATTAGCAGTAATTCTTCAGACTTTTTGTAACTTCAGTGACATGATGTGTAAGTGAAGCATGCATCTGACTGGAGTATAGATTTGTCCAACAGCATTTGCTTGTTAATTTCCTCTGTTTTATTTAGATTCCACATCATCTGTCTGCCAAATTCCTTAGTCTGAGGACATTTAAATCCTCCAGACACTAATGACAGGACTGCTGATTTTAGGAAGCAAGTTCTTTTTTGTAAATAGAAGCCAGTCAGGTTTCACATAAATACCACTGGACAGCACCGTGCCAACATCTGTTGCCCTGTGTGAGTGCATCTCTGCACAAATGCACTGGGGGGGTACATGCTCAGCGAAACTGGCTCCTTTCTTTCCCTGCCATCCCAGCTTTTCCCTTATGTCAGCTGAGGAGAATCTTGGTCCTCTGCCCTGTCTTCCAAACGAGATGTAAAAAGGAAAAAAAACGTAACAACAAAGGGCAGAACTTTCCAATAATTGAATCTCATCGATTTACAGAACTCTCTCCATCTATTTGGCTTGTTCCTTTGGCCTTGGGGCTGTCAGTCTATTTGGAGGTCTCTTCAGCAGCTAAAGTGACAAAAGTGCTCATCCTGCCATTTCCTTAGAAAACATTTTTCTTTTCCTGTTTTAGAGAGATTTTTTTTTTCAATTAAAAGCATAGATGTGGTGATCTGTTAGCCAGACAGATCTTACAGATACTCCACCAGCCTCAATGGCAGCATCTCTCTCAGTTCCTGTGGAATTCCAGATTCCAGGTTGGATTTGCAGGCAAGTTGGTTCTGGTAGATGAGAAATGTAAATAACTAATACCAGTTTTTCTAGTTGTGTGACATATTTCATCCCTACCAAAATGTTCCATGCTTTGAAGATAGATTATATAAGTAAGGCTTTTTGATTGAACAGATATCAGTATATCAGGAGAGCAGGCGAAGCAGAATCCCTGAAAAATTCACATTTGATAGGTGGCTCATATGTACTGATTTTACAAAACTAATTGGACTCCTGCGTTTCTAACATACATTTTCTCCCTGAAGCTGGTCAACAGGTGAATGGAGTGCATGCAGCAAATCTTGTGGAGGAGGGCAGCAAAGTCGTCTGCTTCAGTGTGTCCAGAAAAGGGCTTTCCACAGAGAGGAGGTGGTGGCCCATTCCCTGTGTCCTGTCAGCACCCCTACGCAGGTGCAGATGTGCAACAGTCAGGACTGCCCACCTGAATGGAGCCCTGGCCTATGGTCTCAGGTAATTTCAAGAAAAACTTACATTTTTGTCTGCTGGCATAATGAAAATATTGCCCAAAACCCTGCTCAAAAAGGAGAATAGTGCAAACTTTGTGAAGATGAGTATTTTGCAAGTGGGTCTATTCATGAAGATAAGATGTAAATTATATATAATTTAACTAGCCTTCCTAAGTGCTCAGACAGGAGGGCTTGCCAGAAGTGGAACCGGTGGTGTCCTGTTTGGTACATAAAAATAGATGGGTAATTTTTGCTAGTTTAATAACAAGGCGCTACGAATTCTTCAAAGCCGTTATCCCCCCTCTGAGATTACTTCCCAGAGCAATATTAGCTTTTCCCGGATATGACAGGAAGTCAAGGAATGAAGAAATATTTGGGGTTAGATTGCATATTAACGCATACACATATGTGAACTGTGGGTTGATAAATTTGTGATTTACACATTCGCTAATCACTTTTGTAGCTTTGCCTTTGTTAGATTAACTGTTCTACTGCAGGTAGAGTACAGCAGCAGTTAATTGCCATGAGGGGTAAGAGGCCCTCAGGCAGATTCCTGTGTGTACACACTCTGCTTCACAAACCTGTGAACTGCCTGACATTAAACCAGCCTGAGTTAAAAAACACACATGTGCTTACACAAAACTCATCTCTGCTCTTTCTTTCACTACTATTGATGCTGGTATGAACTGTTAATGTAAGGATAAATGAAGTACTGGGAAAGCTGGGATTTGAGAGCTGACAGTATACTTATATCAAAAGAAGCTACATTATTTTTATTTTTCCATCTTCATTTAGTGAGATTCAAGGTGGATTTAAATTTACTGAAAAATCCATCACTTCTGTGTACACTTCTTGGTACTGTTACTCTTTAGGTGTTCAAGACCTAAGCATTCCCAGCTGAGAAGCGCAGGCTGCCTCTCCAGGGGAGTGCACTGAAATGTACTGTGACAGACCAGCAACTACTCAATAGTCCATCGTAACAGTTTTAACACCCAAAAAGAAACTTTTTCTTCGAGTGTCTTGTGAAGGAAAACTTAGTGTGGGAGGAGATTATAAAACCCAGGTATGATGATTAGATACTTAAAAAGGAAGAACAAAGTCTTCAAACACATTCACACTTTCAAACTTGCTTTCCTCTAAAATAAAAAATCCCCAACAATTAAAAAAAATCCATTTTCCTCCTCTTTAGGAGGTGTGCAATTCAAGTTGGGATTTTCAAATAAGCCTATGAAAATTAGGTTCACAAGTCCTGCTGGAATGTAGTGAATGGGCCTATTGAACAAGTTAGTGAAGATTTTAAGATTCAGCTGAAAGCTGTTATATCTAAGGCTCAAAGTAAAAAATGGAGAAAAAAAAAAAAAGGGAAAAAATGCAAAATTCCCTGCCTCTCTACACAATTCTGAGTAATCATAAAGGAAAGGAGTTTTTTTGTTTGGGGGAAAGATTAAAACCACAGATTTTCATCATGCAGATACTTCTGTTGCGTCCTCGCAACAACTATGCTTTCATGAAATCTTTTAAAAACATTTGTGATTGAACATGGATAGTGCAGGATTCTACCTTGGAATGTGCCCCTTCATTATTAGGAAAAAGAACAATTAGAAAAGGATGCAACAAGGCAGAAAGCCCGCACCATTGTTTCAGGGACATGTATTTCTTCATTTCATCAGAAATGGCTCATTCATGCATTTTGCCGGATGCTAAGGCAATGAAACATAGAGAATGTTCAATTGAACCACGGTTCAGAGCATATTTATTCACTGGTGACTTGTCCTAAGCTTCAGTTGTAATCTTGACAATTAAAATATCTTTGGTCAAACTTCTTAACCATTGTCTGTATCAGATTCTGTCTTGTAGTGAGATTCATTTGGTGAAGGAGTTATGTAGAGATTCCCAGGGTAGTTTTCTCTGCCTCTAACTCATCCCTCTAGGCCTGGGTGAAGACAAAGTAACAAATAGCTGAGAACATTTTGCCGGGGGAGATTTTGAGATGGGAGGTTAGAACCAGCTTTCAAATATGCTGTCCAGGGAAAAAAAAAACACTTTGCTCACAAATCCAACTTTCCTCATCTACGGAAGAGAGATATTACTTATCTGTCCTACATGGGGGCTGTAAGAGTTCATAGTTTACATTAAGAAAGCACTTAGAACAATTTTTCAAAGTTACATACAGATGTTACTGTTACTTATTTACCAACAGCACTTCAAGTTTACTTATATTATAATGGCAGCTACACAGCACATTAGCCATGGTTTCTATGCTCTGCTGTAAAATATAAATGACGCCAGTTTTCATTTCCTCTAGTTCAAATGAATATTTCTTTCCATCACAGTGCTCCAAGACTTGTGGGAGAGGTGTTAAGAAACGGGATGTCTACTGCAAAAGTACAGGTTCTCCCAAGGTTAAAATCTTGCCTGAAAGTATGTGCAGCAAGGACCATAAACCTGAATCCCAGCAGACCTGTGTACTAGGACGCTGCCCCAAAAATGACCGACTCCAGTGGGTGATTTCTTCTTGGAGTGAGGTAAAGTTGTGCAGTTACATGGCTCGCGGCCGTCCTTTGATGCTCTGGGAAACATTGACTTGGGGACACGCACAAACTATGGAGGGGAAAGAAAGCTGAGCTGTCATTTGAAAATCAGGTGTTGTAGGCAAGCCACTATAAAAACACAGTTCCTTACATCCAGATGTAGTTAGACGTACCCTGATGTCTTTGTTTTCCAGGACTTTCACTGACCTGGATTCATATTTCAGTTTACACATTATGGAACATGGTCTTTGTGGTTTTAGTTACATAATGCTTTTGTAGTTTCACATAATTTGGGGTCTCTTGCACATAGCACATTCTCCTTTATCTGAACGTGTTCCTATAGATTTAAAAGGTGTGTTTTGCCTTTGCAGTGCTCAGCCTCCTGTGGCCCAGGCGTACAAAAGCGAGAACTAAAATGCGGTGAGAAAAGCATCCATGGGAAATTGATCACCTTTCCTCAGAGGAGATGTAGAAACATCAAGAAACCAAACACCAACCTGGAAGAAGCTTGTAACAAAGGAGCCTGTCCATCGCAGATGGTGTATAACATGGTGTCTGGCTGGTATTCCTCACCCTGGCAGCAGGTAGGAATGAGAAACTTTCTTGCCTCTTTCCCCTGTCCCAGCTAGCACCGCCTTCTCCAGCACTATGTCATGTCTTGGCTTTTATGGAGTCTACAAAAGGAGCAAGTTTCTCTACACAGTAGCTCAAGTAGCATTCCCTAGTGCTTTTCACTACAGGGCATTAAAGAACAAAACAACTGCAATGTGAGTGCTGGCTCTTGGACAGTGTATCCACCGTCTTTAGAAAGTGAGGTTGCAGTGCTGGGCTTAGAGAGCACCACACCTAGAAAAGCCACAGTATCATACACCACAGAATGGAGGCTAGCTGGAGGGGCACAAACACCTGGGAGGCCTGAAATGCTGAAGACCAGGCCCCTGTGACTACAGCAATGGGAGTCCAGGCTGCCTAGACGAAAGCTAGCTCCCGTCTTACATTGTGCTGTAGTCAAACGTCCGACTCTATGGAGGAGATATCTCCAGTGTGAACAATCCACAGGTGTCTCCTGCACGTAGCCATTCCCTAAAAAAGGGACCACTCAGCCACTGAATCATGATGCAGCTGGTCCACATCCATCATGGACTTTGGTACAGCTCATGTCTTTGTCCTGAAACTGAAGAATGTCACCTAAAAATGTTAGGCACGCTTGAGAGGCACTACATTCCACACTCATTTTCCAACGCTTTCTTCTCAATCATCTCCAAACTGCACTGCAGTTGAACTATTACATATCTATATGTACAATGTATCTGAGCATCTGCAGAGATTGCCTGGAATTCCCTAAATACTATGATTAATTACTGGATCAGTCTGTATTTGTTTCTACATTCTTGCAAACAAGCTTCTGTATTTCTGGAACTTATCTACTTTATGAGTCACATATCAATGAGACACACACTCATTTAATAACATTTACATGAAACAATGTATGCCTGGCAATTGTAATCAGATGAAAATGATCGCATTTATCTCAAAGACAACTTTTCATGAAACACATACAAGTAAAAGGCTTATTAATTTAAAAATACTTCATAGATCTTCCTGCAAACGCATTGTGTTTTTCCCCAGATACTGCCATAATTATGGTTCCAAGGGGACTTTTATCTCTGTTCAGACAGCAGGATTAGGCCCAGAGGCTCAGAGTTCAAAAGAAATCAGTGCAGACAATTAGGAACAGGTTTTCTGAAATGCTCAGTTTCTGTCTCGATGCTTAAGTAGGGAACCAAACTTTCAGCCGAGTCCTTAAATAACCAAACTTTGGGAAGGGAGAGCAGATGCACACATCTTTGGAAAGTTGGTCCTGATGGGGGTTGCTGAACAGCAACACATCCGATCCTGACCTCTCTCTCTTTGAAAGTCTCAACCAAAGCCCTTGGAAAGTTACTCCTTTGGCTTTCATGGGCTCCCAGAGAGTCTCTGTAACGAAAGATGGCTTTTACTTGTTTCCTCTCTACAGTGCACAGTGACGTGTGGAGGGGGAGTGCAAACCCGGACCGTACAGTGCCTGCGCCAAGGAAGACCAGCTTCTGGGTGCTTGCCCCATCAGAAACCAGCAGTCCTGAGAGCCTGCAATACGAACTTCTGCCCAGTCCCTGTGAAAAGAGGTAAAACTCAGCTCTGCATGCTGCAGCAGGGTTGGTCACTTAGAACTCCATATCCAGCAAAACTCACCTTTTCCAGTTCCACCCACTGGAGATTAGTCTTTGGCATGTTCCTTCATAAATTATTTTTTTCACAGACTTTCCTGCTGTACAGTTACTCTGATACTACAGCACTTCTCAGAGTGAACCCTTCGAAGCAGACTTGAGAGTGTAACTGACACAGGAGATTTTAAAAACAGGAATATGTTAAAAAAAAAGTGCATCAAAAAGTTGTGCTATTTGGTTCTGAGCTGCATCTTTATACTATCTTGTTGAATAATACCGAAGCATCCTATGCTGGTACTGTTTTAAGACTAGAAATAACAACTATTGAACTAAGCAATAAGAATTAGCCATTTATTTTTAGTCTTTTGAAGTCTCCCCAAGATTCAGATTGCACCCACATCCTGGGAGTCCAAAAATGCTTTGTCCAGAATGTACTTCTCTTCTTACTGCTTCTGATCAGTGTATGGCGTGCAGTCAGGAAACACAAAATTAAGCTCTGCCCCCACTTGTATGTCTACTGTATCCCTCGCCACCTCTTCCATGTGTTTTGCAATTCTAGAGGAGCAGGAGGAGTGAGAGGTTTTGTGTTACTCTGAGTGATGGAAGGGGAATTCTCTCAGAACCACCACAGAAAGAGAGCCATGTGTTAGCCCCATCCCCTATATTTGCTTACAAGCTGGTTACAGTTTGTGCTGCCTTCTTAACTGTGGGAAAGAAGCTCATGGAGGTCCAGGTTTCTCCCATCTAACACTAGTTACCTAGGTATGCTAAACCACTTTAAAGATTGACTTTCAACATACCGTACATTAACTGTCTTGTTGCCATTTTAAAACTGGGAGCTGAAAGTCGCCTCTATAAAACCTAGGCTGGATTGCAAGAGAAAGTGGTAATAGAGCTGGGAGCAAAGGTCAAGCTCCGGCTCTGCATCATGTAAACTGACATTAGCCAAGCACCCCGCTCATCTGTACCGACTCCTGGCGTTCACTGTGCACAGAAACCCTGTAAACCCCAGTGATACCTAAACAGAGCATTCTACTGCATCAACTCCAGACACACAGGGTCTCAAACTGATACATCGGGGGACCTGAATCCAAACAAGAATGTATAGATTAAATGGTCCTGAAAGGGATAAGTAAATAGTTCTGCTGGTTTTGTAAGTAAATGTTCTAAACACTTCAAACTAACCTTGCTAAAAAGTTCTGCTGTACTTCAGAGTTTTTGTTTTACATCCTTTTTCTGTCACGACATAGCAAGCACTTTTCTTTCACCCCTGCTTTCCTCTGCTATTTTTCATGTCTGGAGTAATGTCTGTTATTAATTTGGGCCTTGGCCTGCTTCTCTCTCTCCTCACATCTGCAGGAGCCCTTTCCCCTTTATTGTAACTGGGTCGTCAGGCTCTAGAGATCAATTATCTCTTCACTGCTCTCTAACTTTCTGTCTAAACCAGCAAAAAGAGGGAACCAGCTGTGCTGGAATCACATTTAAGCTAATCAGTCTCTATTATCAGCCATGCAGCTCCAGCTCACTGATCACAGTCAAGAAATTAATGTTTCAGGGAGAGTTTACACACTTCCCTAGACAAACTGGGTCACTTCCATCCCTCTGTTAGATGCAGTTACGGTCACCATAACTCCTACTAAATCCAACTGCTTAAAATTAACAAAAATTTAAACATAAATACTTGAGTAAATAGAAATAACGAACTGCCAGCCTGATCCACATCCACTGAAGTCTGTGGGAGTCTTTGTGTTCATTCCAATGGTCTTTGGGTTAGGTCCCAAGAGTAAAGTTTTCAGCCATACCTCTGTAATGTTTGCATTGCACTCTAATCTTCAAAAGGTCATAAAGATTTATTAACACGGCCTCCTTGGTGCTTATGATTTTTTTTTAAACAGTAATTTGTAATTTTTGAAAATTTAGCCTTCTGTGGCAGACGAGCTTCTTCCTGACTTCATCAGAACAGCTTTACTCACTTAGTGCTGTGCATGTTTTTCATCTGTTGTCTGCTTTGGGTCCTCCCAGCAGCAAATTCTGTCTGGTGGACAGTAGGTGAAGTAATGAGAAAGTTGGTGCTGAACTCCCAGTTTCATCCCTACTGACACTTAATTAAGAACAGAAGACAACGCTAGGGAGTGGGAAGGCCACTCAGTACCAAACTTCCTAGTTCCTGGACAACTGCTTGTTCAAGGACAGTCTTTTCTTTACATAACACTAGCATTTACAAACAGGCTTATGTTTTTAAAAACTGAGGAGTAAAATGGCATCTTTTAAAATAGTATTAAATTATATTTTCTCACCCATTCAATAAGTTTGAGGGCGATAAAGGTATACAAAATCACCTTTGCCATCATATAAAAGGGAATAAAAAAAAAAAAGCAAAGTGGTGGCTAATCAAAAGAAGTTCCTATAGAGAGATAGAGGTGACTCCTGGCACAGAGAATATGGAGAAGTTGTCTGTGCTATGCGAGGGAGCATTTATCTTCTGTGACTCAGCTTAGCTGATGCGAGAAGGCAGACAACGGTGGCTAGATTTTTCTTCACTGTCTCCTTATAAATTCCTTTTATTGACCATGTAAACAGTAGTTCTGAGAGTCGAATGGAATCTTTTCCCATGCTCACAGGAGATTTTAGTTTAGCTATAAATTTTGCTAAACCTCATTTAAGTGTCTTACTGCTCTCTCAGACATGGTGAATTTGTTTATAAATCATCCATATGAATCATCACTCTGGTCTTTTAAAGAAACATAAAGCATCCAGTACAAAACTGTAGAAAGGAGCAGCTATGAAATGTTTTTAAAGTGACCAGACTCTGTGTATAAATCGTCTGTACATAAATTTAAGCGAAATAAAATCTTAATTGAAAAATATGGTTTATTTGTATTTGCAATCAAAAGCTGGGCTTTTCAGAGCTGAGCATGGTCAGCCTGTCTCTTTTCCCATTGCAGTTAACTAAGATTTCAGCAGCATGGCATGGTCAAAGTCCCGAGAGCCTGATTCATGCCACCTAACTAAAGTGTCTGAAAAGAGATCTCATAGGCTCCCTGCATAGTCAAATGGAGAGAAATAAAGCCTCTAGGAAATGTTGGATCACAAACACGTAGCAGGGCACTTTGAGCACACGTGCAGAGAGCAGGGGCCGGGCACTCAGGTTTGTGGGCATTTTGTGTGCTCATGCACATACACTCAACGCTGACACTACTCTGAGGTGCAGGTAAACTCCACCTGATGCTGAAGGCAATAAGCGATCAGCATCAGGTGTGGAGCAGGCTCATCTGTACAAGTACACAGAGGACTTTTTTTATCCACTACAGTGGAACTTTCTGTTTTCCTGAACTTCAAAGTGTGCTCTAAATTTTTTAATTCCTGTCGCCTCTGACCCTCCTGCTATATTAGCTCTATCTTTATCAAATTAACAAATCTGATTTTGTAACAAATAAAACATCTCTTAACAAATTAAAAGAGAAACTAGTATTTTTGAGATGAAAACTAGTTCATGGTTCTTCTTTGAACCGAGTCACCCATTGTTTTTATGATATTACCAAACGCGTACAAGTGCACGGAACTATTGCCTGACTTGTAGGCTTGCTAAAACACAGGCTTACCATATTGCTTGGATTTCTCTCCTTCAGATGATCCTTCTTGTGTGGATTTCTTCACTTGGTGTCATCTGGTACCCCAGCATGGTGTCTGTAACCACAAATTTTATGGCAAGCAATGCTGTAAATCATGCACAAAGAAGAACTGATAGCAGCATGTTATCTGAACCCTTCAGTGACAGGATTCTCTGCTTCAATTTATGCTGGAATTAACTTTGCTTTGAGGCAAGACATGGTGCCACATAAACCACGGAGGGAAGAGACATTTTTTCTAAGGGAATGTCTGAGGTACAGTAATTGTTGGATATGATGAAAAAAAGGAATGTTTGTTTCTTTTTTTTTTTCCTTTATTAACTGACCTCACTAAAGTACAGGGTACTATGGATCACTTGAACACTGAGACTCAAGGGGCAGTTCTTTAAAAGTGTCATTTTGCACTGTCCTACGTTATGAGGAAGAAATTAAGGCAAGAAAGCCTTTTCTGTCTAATTTACCAGAATGCAAAGCAAAAGAGATTGGGAGCTCGAGGAGGAAGGTTACAGCACGGCAGCATGACAGATCGCACTATCAAAAGTGTTTCCTTTCATATTTTTTTATGATACTATCGTCCCAGGGTAAGGAAGCTGTTTACTGCCACTTTCACAGAAAGACATTCAAATGGCTGTTGTTTGGAGAACGCAGTGTCACGTGTGACCACAAGAAGTAAATAGTGCACTACAAAGATATATGGTGCTTCTCTATTAGACTTGCTGCTGGAAAAGCAAGTTTTGCATCATGCTAATGTTTTTATTGTTTTGAAGAATTCATTTTCTGCTTTGTGTAGAAACTCAGAGGTGGTTAACTAGTAACTTGAAATGTATTCCTAGAAATATTCAGCATTAGAATATTTGGACTTTTAATATCGCTGTGTTACAAGTAAAATAGAATTTCATATTTCGACTAACTCAAGGAACTCAGATTTACTGAGCTCAGTGGTTATGATTTCAACGTTCTAAGCTCATTAGATATGTAATTTTAAAATTTAAACTTAATATTTTAAAGTAGTTTTTTTTCAGAAGCTAGGTTATTTGAATGCCAAGATACTGAAGAATGTCTTACTTTTAATCTCAAATCTCTGCAAATTTTGATTCATCCATTACCCAAATGAAATAACAAGAATATTACAGTCCATTAATTCATGCTAAACTTCTCTAAGTAGTTATTTATTCACACAGGTTATATGAAAAAAAAAAAAAAAGAAAAAGATAAGTGGATGATTTACTCTAACCAAATAAAAGTCAATTCTATTTTTATACATTCTCCTAATACTTTTATTTAGTTCAGAATCTACCAGTAAACAAAAGAAATTTAAGCCTAATGATATTTGTAATCATTCAGTATCAAGATATTCGGTGACACTATATCAGCTGGTACAATTTTAGAAGTTTCTGCATTGAAAAAATACCCAACCTATTTGCCAAACCCATTCTGAGACAGAGCTGTGTTCTACTGTAATTTTCTGGGGAGTGCCTACGAGGGACATATTTATCTAATTCCACCCAATCCCACAAGTTCGTTTGATGAATGTAGTTCATTTTTACTGTTTTTTTTAAAGTATCATTTCAGCATAAGATTAGCCAGCTCAGCACTAATGCCAGACAGTGGTCACTTAAAATTAGCAGTTCCTTTTGCAACAATTTAAATTAAAAACATGTCTTCTATGATACTTTAAGAAATGATGATTGGAAACATATCTCAACCTACACCGCTCTGTCTTGATATTGGACATGTGTAATTATAATCTTTTTTCTAGGAAAACTACAAGGTTGTTTTTGTTTTGCTTTTATAATTGTGTCCTTTTTATTATTTGATGTAAAATAATTAATTTATTAATGCATAGCTTTTCCTTTATATTTCTTTGCTCACTTCCGTAAGTGACAACAGAGGAAAGAAAATGGTAGTGTCACAGAGTATGAATTATGGTGTAAAAAAAGCAAAAAATATAAGTGTAATATTTAATTATTTTATAAGCTTTGTAATAAAGTACTCTAACTGTTTCATTATATTTGGAATTGTAAAATTCATGAATAAAATATGGAGGCTATAAGTAAATATCGAGTAATATAAGTGTGTATGCATCATTTGCGTTTATTGATTGTCCTATAGAAGCTTTAAGTAAAACATTATCCTGTTTTCCTCTGCTACATAACTGGTAATGTCTGTGACTCTGAACCTGTGCCAGTTCTGTGGAGGGGCAGTGACAAAAGCTGCCCACAAGAAACGCCTGTTCTTCGGGCAGTGAAAATTTAGCCACCATAGCTACGTGTGACCCCTGCCTAACTGTGGCCCTGCTGCTCAGGTCCTGTATGGGTTAACGTGGCAGGGAACCCTCAAAACAGTGGATGTGAGTGTTAACAAGCCATTATGATGAATGGGACAGGAGGTCATTCCTTTCAGGCCCTCAAAGTCAGGGTATGTGCTAAGGTCATGTGAAACTTCTCTACTTTTGAAGGTCCCATTATACTGGCAAGCGAGGAATGCACGACTGGTTATTCAACAGAGTGAATATATTGTAGTTGCCTTTTAAGAGCAGGAGATGTTTCTCATTTGAATGACTACCCTTCCATTGAAGCAGCTGGCCTGGATTGTGCCTGTTTCAGGCACAAAAAGGAGAAAAATAGACATAACTCCATGGTTTTATTTTCATAACAACACAAAAGCTAAAATACACAAAAATACAGTTGCCCCCTATGTACAAGACAAAACTGACCTATTGCTTCTCTCACCAAAGACAGCGGAAACTTGGGTATCACAGAGCCAGCACGATTCTTCCCTGCGTGTATTTATCCGCAAGGTGCTTTGCAAGGTAAGAAGCTTCATTCAGCATAGCATTAGGTTTACAGCCTCTCCCATCTACCTGGGGATACTTAATTTTTCTAAAAATGACTCAGCTGAGAAGTGTCCAAGCCAATCCCCAGTAGGAACTACATCAATTCACTGGGTCATTTCATATATATATATATACACACACACACACTCTTAACAGATATTTGCTGCTTTTCCCTTCATTCACCGTCACTCAGATCTCTGACAACAGCAAGCTGTATAGAGTATTACTGATAGGAAATACTGATCATGCTTCTGACTGACAGCATAATCCGGTAGGCGATAATAAGCAATAGATCAGTCTGCTCCTGAAGGATTCCCAGCGAGTGCTCTTTTAAACATGATTTGGACCAGTGATTTAAATAATTAATATGCCCACACAAGAATTCAGACTCTAAATTGCTTTGTGTTTTGGAATTAAAATGAACTGTTGTCAGCGAATTACAGCGTTGGAGATGGATGTTGAAAGAGGAAATATTGCATAAAGATGTGCTATTGTGTGGCTGGATCAACCCCAAGTCCACAAATGTTTTACTGCTGAGCCCTTGCAACGATATTTGGTATACAAAGCTTGGCAGTTTTCTAGAAGTATATTGCTGCAAGGCTCACTTTATAAAGCAGAATGGGGTCTTTTCACAAAGGAATAGCTGTTTCCTGTAGTCAGATTTCATCACTCAGGTAAAGGATGCATCTGCCTAAAACTCAAACAGATATTTAATGAATGGCTTGATTGTGTAAATCAAACTCAGCTATCTTGGATGCCCAGAAGACATGAAATGTTGGAGACAGATGAATGTTTCGCTGCATGTGGCTTTATAGTAACATGATCCACATCCCATATTTCCTATATTTTTCAGCAAATTCTATTCAAAAGAATCAATAAAATAAATTTACATCATTATTTCTATTGTAATAGAAGCCCAACCCTACTGAGTGCCTGGGACCCCATTGTGCACAACACTCTATACACATGTCAGGAAAGGCTTATGGTCCCGAGTGTACAGTGAGAAACAATAGGAAAAGAACACGTTAACAGTGAGCTCATTGTGATTAGGAGAAAAAGTGTCGCTCGTGGCTCACTGTCTGTCTGGACACTGCAGAACGTTTCAAAGGCCGCTCCACACAGATACGATCTGAAAGAGCAATACTGAGGAACTTAATCCTGACTGTGTTTCAAAAGCAAACACTGAGCATTGCTGAGGTCTGAGAGGACAGCAGAGGGAAAAGGCAGTGGGGAAGCTGGGATACAGTGGAAAGAACCAAAATGAGGTGTGTTCAATGCTGAGTCCTAACCGAGATAGTGACTATCACGAGAGGAAAGCAATGCACAGGAATCATTCAATCTCTTATCCTGGCAGTTATCAGGGACTACAGAGATGTGAGGTGTTGGCAAGGCAGTAAGTTTTCTTACCATTATAAAAAAAAAATCTGAAATAAGGAGATGCAGCTGCTAGAAAATACCTTAAATTCCTCCCCAGCCAATATTGTATGAATGTCAACCAGATCAAACTGACCTTCCTGTCTACTTCCTGCACAACATGCACCACTACCACAGGTATTCCTCATAGGCTGCTCTTCAGAACAAATCCAGGTCAGGTTGGGCTGGAACATGTCCTTCCATGTACAGCACATTCCCAAGCTCTTCACCTTGCAAATAACACTTGCTTCCCACAAGAGCAGGCAGTGACAGATGTGAGCGGGGCCGTTACTGATTCTCAGACTTGCCCTGCAAACAGCAGAGGTGCGGGTCGCTATTTACAGTGTTTGTACCACATTGCCCGTGGGAAGTCATTGCCTCTGCCCTGAGCAGAGGTGATCAGAACACTGGCCTGAAGAGCTTGCCTTCTTGCAGCCAACACATGGCAGGCTGGGCTAAGGGAAGCAGTGTACTCATTGTCCGTGGGGGATACCGGGGCAGACACAGCCTGAATGGCTACATTTTTCTTCCAAACAGAAATTGAGAGAAAACACCATTAATGCTTTCCCTGGATGCAGTTATGACTCGTCCCACAGGAAAAGCCATCCTGGTGCAACGTGTTCCCCAGAGCACTAGAAATCACATTTCCACGTTGCATAACCAATGTAGCTGCTGAGCAAGTACAAAGCAGTTGAGGTCTCTATTTCCTCAAAGCGCACCGCCAAATATTATTTTTATAAGCTACTAAACAAAATATTTTGTGGCTTTTATTTCTTGAGGCTTTTGATAGCTGAAATATAACTTGATTGAAAAGGACAGAATGAGCTTTCTATGTATATTTTTAATGTCCAAACAGATCATCTCATTATTTTTTTTCCCCAAATGATACAAACAGATAAAACCTGAGGAAAGTGCTGGTGGCAGGGTGGGGCGGACGTGACAACGACCCCTGAGGGACACCACTTGTCACCAATCTCCATCTGGACACTGAGCCATTGACCACTACGCTCTGGATGTGACCATCCAACCAATTCCTCATCCACTGAGCAGTCCACCCATCAAATCCATACCTCTCCAATCCAGAGAGAAGGATGTTGTGGGGGACAAAGGCCTTACAGAGGCCGGACAGACAATATCCATAACTCCCCCCTTGTCCGCTGATGCAGTCACTCCATCACAGAGGGCCACTAGGTTGGTCAGGCAAGACTTGCCTTTGGTGAAGCCAAGCTGGCTGTCTTGAATCACCTCCCTGTATTCATTGTATTAACAATA